ACTAAGCCTTAGTCTGGGGAGGCTGACAGCAGCTGAGACCAAAAAATCTTTCTGCTTAACCCCAAAAGCAGCTACTACTATAGTATTTTGTAATGTTAAGCTCTCAGAAGGAATCTGAAGACTCAAATGCTTCAGATATGAACTTCTCCACCATTCTGCTATGAAAGAAGATTAGAAAGAGAAACAACAGGACTACAAGGGAGTGACAGGCTATGAAGATGGGGATTTGGGTCTGCATTTTCTAGAGGATGATGGACAGCTGTACCTTACAACTCTGAGAAAGATGTTTGGGGATCTGGGTCAGAAGGGGTTTAAAAGAATTTATGGGCAGAGGGCGTGGCTTGTCACCAGAAAAGATGGCATGGTGAGCTGATTGCTTTGCTCCTGACCCAGCTTTCTTGATGATTTTTACATTTTTTTTTTACTCATATACATCTAATTGGCAAGATTAAGAAAAAACAACAACAATTTTTAGCTGCCAAGAGTCTTGTGATTGCAGTGACATACAAATGTGATAAAAATAAATAGATAACAAAGAAATAGATAAAAAGAAACAGAAGGGTGTTCCCCAACATGCCAGAGGAACGAAGATGTACTTGGATGAGTCAAGGACAGCTGAGACAACATCCTGTTCTGGCAGTGAAGAAGAGATAGTGGAGGAAGAAAGTGCCTGTTGGAGGGCACAAAAGCCAAGTGACATTGGAGTTGAAGGCTCAAGGTTGACTTGATAGGATATTTGATTAAGCAACTCAAAGAACTAAAGGAGGAATGGGATAAAGCATCTACTTTGTTTTGAAAAGATCTGGCAGGGATGTTTGAACAAGTTAATAAATGACTGAAAGATCTGTTTTTTTACATTTCAGAAATGGTCCAGACTGCTAGCAAAGCATATAATGTTGCTATGAAAAATGAGCTTGACATAGAAAAGTTCAAAAAATATTACTGACATTAGATTGGATTTGGTCAATATTCAGAAATAGAAATAATTTGAGAATTAGAGGAATTAGGAAAAATGCAGGAAAGACTAATTTAATTGGATATCTTATCTCAGAACTTAATTACAAGCTACCAGGTTTAAAACTTCAAGATAATGATGTGGAATGCACCCATAGAGTCTTTCCTTCTAAGTTCAATCAAATGCAAAACCCAAAAGATATGCTAATAAGATCTGTAAAATAATCAGATGAAAGAAGAAAAATCTGCAAAAAAAGCTCACGGACTAAAAGAGATAGTCTTTTGGGATGGAGATAGAGTGTTGTTTTTTTCAAGACATTAGTCCTGTCATGCTACAAAGAAAAGTCTTCAAACCAATGACAGAAGAATGATTAAAAAGAACAAGGTATAAATGGGGGTACTCTTTCAAGCTAACTGTATTTCAACCACAAGCAAGAGAGATTATTTTTATGCTTTCTGACAACCTGGAAGGGGAGAAATTAGCATTGCTCTAAACTAGACCAGTGAGAGCAGTGTTTCTTAAAGTGTGGTCCGAGGACTTCTGGGCACCCTCGGGAGCTGCTCATGAGTCTGTGAAACCAAAATTATTTGCAAAATTTAAAACAATGTCACTCTTCTCATTATTAATTTTTGTTTAAAAAAATGGGTTTTTTTTCATGAAAAAGTATTTTATTTATGTTAATATCAGATGGGTTTAATATTATTTTTACATGATTCAATAAATAAATATTCTATGAATGCATCAATTTTAATTTTTAGTATGGTAAATATCAGTAAAAATAACTCATATAAATGAAAGCCCTATTGGGGTCCTCCATAATTTTTGAGAAGGGGAAAGCAAACAGTTTAAGAAACACTGAGATCTAATTAATCCTTTATTCACATGTGGTCTAAACGGGGTGGGAGAAGGGAATTGGGGGAAAGCTGGAGAAACAGGGAATGGGGGCAAAAAGGGATGGCGCCCACTATTTTGGTTTACATGGCTCAAACTTACATCTTTTTTAAATAACAAAGATATAATGGAATCAGCATCTTGTTGTTTAACTACTTTTGAAAAATTAATCATTAGTTACCCTTCCCAACTCAAGGGAACAATCTCAAAAATTTGTAAGTTAGTTATTAGAAATGGAGGCAAATGTTTCCTCCATAAGTTTAAAAGAAGTCTGAGATTCAGATTTAAGAAAATGAATGGAAGAGATGAAATGGAGAACACAGGTGGTTTTCTATCAGTTTCCATACAAGAAATGCAGTGGAAGATACTGCATCACTGGCATTTAACTCCAAGTGGACTAGCACAAATATAAGAATTCATCAAAATGTTGGAGGGATTGCAATCAAAAGGGAACATTTTTTTCATTTGTGGTGGGCTTATGAAAAGATTGTGCCTTATTGAAAGGCAATATTCAAAGAATTTAGAACAACAACAAAAAGTAGGATGTGTTTGATATTTGGGATTATTACCTATTTTGAGAAAGATAACGCTACATTCAAAGAAAAGGATCTTATCTCTGGCTGCTAAATCAATAACTGCTCAAAAATGGATTTTTTTTAGATAACCTATTGTATCATTAGTATTGGTATACTAAGGAATGGTCTGTTGCTTTTATGGAAAAGGTTGCCAATAAAATTCAAATACTGACTTCTCAGAAGGATGAGTCACATTTTAATCAGATATGGAAGTTATACTAACAATAACAACTCTTCTTTTGATAAATGTAGTGATGTACACAATGCCTATATGTTTGAATATGGGGTTAGGGGCTGTTGTATTCTTGTTTCTTTCTTGCCTTATGGAACACTAAAAGTAAATAAAATAAAAAAAAAATCACTTAAAAAAAGATTGCAGTGTTGATGTGACTCCAGAAATAAGAGTTTCAGACAAAGAGTGTTAGAAGACAGGAAGAGAGAAACAATACTGAACCAAGATTAAACCACTCAATAAGACTCAGTTTGGTGTAGTGATTAAGGGCATCGGACTAGAAACTGGAAGACTTGAATTCTAGTCCTGCTATGGACACAAAACCAGCTGAGTGACTTTGGCCCAGTCATTCTCTCTTTCTGCCTTCAGAAGAAGGCAATGGCAAACCACTTCCAGAAATATTGCCAAGAAAACTGTAGGGATTTGTTTGGGCAGTTGCCAGGGATCAGGACTGACTGGAAGGCACAATGATAATGAAACCACTCAATAAAAACCAGGAAGAACACTGGCTCATAAACTTCATGACCTATATGGTCTACACCAGTGTTTTTCAACCTTACCAACTTTAAGATATGTGGACTTCAACTCCGAGAATTCCCCAGCCAGCACGGGGATAAATAAATGGTCTCAAGAACTTAGGGAAAGGATTTATAGGCATAATGGAGACCTGGTGAGAGGATTCGCATTACTAAGATACTGTAACCGAACAATGGAACTTGTTCCAACATAACAGAAACAATGCAAAGGGAGAGAGGATTTGCATTTTATATTAAACAATATCCATATCTGCAAAACCAGTCTAATACAGTAGACTGGCTTATTTCTAACTGAAGGAGCTTCCACCAATGGAAGATCTTCAATCAAAGAAAGGGACCTCTGGATCCAATCCAGTGTCTTTCAACCTTGACATTCAAGTTTTAGCAGTCATAGAAGCTACTGCTTGATGGATCTCTCTACCAAAAAATGCCTTTAGAAAATTCACTGTCCAGATATTATGAACAAACAAATGTAATTTATTTTACGTTTCTACCACACATTCTCATGGAGAGAAGCTGGATGAGGTGGTAGATTTTATCATCTCTTATGGTAAGTTAAATGTATGCTCTATCTTGAATTTGCTTTCTGCTGGTTTTATAGAACAAGCTGCAGGCCAGACTGGAGAATCCAACCTGAAGAAAAGAAATTGCTTCTCCACACAACGCAAAAGAATTTAATCTCTTTCCCAGCTACACAGCAGATAGTTTCATTTTGCCATTGGCTGAAGCACCTTGGAATCCCAGTTATTTAAAACCTGCATTACTACATACTGGATTGACTTCCATATACAGTATAAGCAGAATTCACAAATCAGAGTTTTCCATAAGTCTCTATTTTACCTCAACTATCAACAGCCTTATGTTGTTAGTATTAAGTTTTTGAAATATTATAATGAACAGTGTTTATACTGATTAGTCCCAAGAGATCTCTCTCTGTCTCTTGAAATTTTAAAAGGGGAAATAAACCTAATGCTATGGAATTAATTCAAGATACCTTTTTTTTAAAAAAAACCCCCACAAATATACACATTTATATAAGGAAAAAAAATGAGTGGGAAACAATATAATGATGCCCATCTGCCCTATATTTTCTTTATAGTTTTTTTTTTTTTAATATATGAAGTTGGCATACTGCCAAGCAAAGGAGCTCTTCATTCTGGATTTTCTTCACTTACAGAATCCTCACAGGAATTCACAGAAGATAAAAATGAATTGAGCTCAGTGTGAAAATCTCTTCCTCTGCTCTGAAACATCCCAATGTTCTGATAGAGAACAACCTAGAGGAGATGGTGGGAAGCTATCTCACTAAGGGGTGCCACACCCAGTGTGGCAACCATTTTGTGATAGTGGCCATGACATGCTCTCCACTTTTCCAAAGCTTTATTATGCCATTTATTTATCATGCCATTAACTGAATTTGCTGAACCTGCTCTGAATCATGATCTTGATAAAGGGACATAATATTGTCCCAAGTTGGACTTCTGGGTGGACCAGCTGTGGGTTAACCATTAAGCAAAACAAGCCCGTGCTTGGGGCACCAAGGGAAGGGGGGCACCACAGAGTTCCCCCCCAGCTATCATGTCCTTAACTCTTTCAGTGCCATACTCAACTTTAGTTTTCAGCACTTACTGAGTCTTAATGTCTCAGTAAGCAATGGAAGAGGTGAGGGGCACCATTGTTGGGCTGTGCTTAGGGGATCATTTGGCCATAATCTGCCCCTTCAATGGACAGTAGAATCTAATGAATGGTGACCACACCTAACCTCAGTTAATGGGCCACTTCTGTTACCCATTAGCACAGAAGGCAGTTACCTTAGCTGATGTTTCGAACCACCCCACAAAGCCATTGTCCTTGCAGAACTGCTCCATCTTGAGACCATTATTCACCAGTAACTCTTGGCCTTGATCACATTTGTTGGCTAACAGGACAGTTGGCACCAGCTTGCCATTAGGGAGAGTCAGTTTAGTGTCCAAATCTTCCTTCCATTTGGTTACCGCTTCAAAAGTGGCTGGCCTCGTAACATCAAAGACAACAAAAGCTCCCACAGCTTCTCGGTAGTAGACCCGGGTCATGTTCCCAAACCTTTCTTGACCTATAATGATAAAAGGACACTTTTTAACACATCCATACCCATGACACTGTGACAGATTGTAGGGAGGCTGGGAAAGGAAGGGAAGGAAACACAGACATAAACAATCAAGAGATAGCAGATGAATCAGTCGACAGCTTATCTCATAAACAGCAGCTTAGCCCACATGAAGAACTATCTGGGAAGAAGTGTTTTGAAGCATTAAAGAGACTCTACCTTAATTAACTCACTATAAATAAGGCTGGGAAATTCTTTAAAAAAATAAATTATTAAAAGTTTTAAAGAGAACACTAAAAACTAACACAAACTAATACAAAGTAGAAGGAAGGAAGGAAGGAAGGAAGGAAGGAAGGAAGGAAGGAAGGAAGGAAGGAA